ATATTGCAATAATAAAACGAAACGTGTTTCGTTTCGACATCCACCACAAGGAACATAATGCGATTACTGTCGTCAGGTAATTTTAATAATTATGCAATTAAATTGACGATTATTTAAAAAATACTGCATAATGACATCATTTTTTTAAATAAAGATGTATACAACAACAAATCGTTTAAGACTCGACACTCACGGTTGTACTGTTATTATTGAATCTTAAACTGTACCGTAGGCACTACAGGCATGGAGGTAATAATAATAAACTCATATCTGTTCAAGTGGTACTAAATCCATGTTAATTGTGCCTACATTTTATCTGCTACTGTTGCTTCAAAGGAGAGGTTGACGCACCCATAGAGCCAATGCGGGCACGATTTCAGTTGCTACGGAGGATGAGATTTCTGTTTTTCTTTTAAATTCAAAAAAAAATCTTCTCTTTCCTTTGAGTCGTGTTTAATTTGTTCTTTATTTTCTTTAGAAAAAACGTTTTGGTCATTGTTTTTGAGTGAAGTATGGTTTGGATTCTTTTCGAGTTTTCGAACGAGTTCCTTTCATAATACATTTCGTGATATTACTTTTGTGTACTCGACTTTTAACCGTAATCGAGGCCAGTGAAAATAGTTATGCGTCGCTTTGTACTGAGTTGTTGAGTTACTTGTTTTTTTTAATTTAAGATACAATCTAGATCCATAAAGATACTTAAATTTTGTTTATTTCTTGCCGTGTTCAATAGCTCACAATGGCTTTTTCGCTAAACGGGTATATTTAAATATGGTCAGAACATACGTTTTATTTTTAATATATTTTATGTGCGTTTAATATATGCTTTTATTCACCGTGCCAAGAAATTGATCATGAGTAAGATAGTAAGAAGTAAAGTTGCCCATATAAATTCTTTTTTTTTTTCATTATAATTTGCTTTTGACGTGCTCGCTGTTATTTTAGCCGTTCCATTGAGATTGAAAAAAAAATGTAAAACCCAATGACCTACACGGCGCTGGTTCTGTTGTCTCAAGGCGAAGCGACTAAAATGGCTTTGAATGTTTTTATTCATTTATAAGCACTATGGCATTTAAATTGTAAGCAGGTTAATAGACATTCAATGTTTATTATTTCATTTGATGTAAATGAATAATTGAATAAGTACATAAAACTTTAAGCTGGTGGTGGTGGTAAGTGAGCAGCTGGCCTTCTGGTGAGGAATCTTTCTCACTTTAGTAGGGCTGGCTACCGTAGATACAGGCAACGTAATTACACTAAATAGGGATGTGTTTCTTTTTCTGAACTGCGAATTCATTTCGCATCAGAATTAACTCAATAAAACTGGAAAAGATATACATGTGAAAATATCTCTTTAATTCTTTTATTGGTACTGAAGAATTGGTATCTATAGGATTTGATTGACTTACATTGGATATTGGATAGCGACAAATCCACCAACACAGACATTGATCCTTCTATTGTATCAGGCAAACAGGTCTAGGAAAACGCAAAAAGAGAATAATTGCTTTTACGCATCGCTGATTTTCTGGTACGATTAAAGCCAAATGAAGCATAACTTGTTCCTTTAACCGAAATAACTTGATAACTCTAGTATGTGTCGAATTCTTTTTGGCAAATAGTGATTCTTTTCTAAAACGTAATTTATTTAAGCACGGAATAAATAATACCGAGGAATAAGTATGAAATGTTATGTCATAACATATTATTAATATAAGAATTATGTAAATTATAATGGAGTTTTAATTATTCGTTAATAATCTAGTATTCATAAATATATATATATTTCATAAGTTTAATATGACATATACCTATACATATGTGTCTATGAAATCTAATCGCCAAATAGGTTACCTACAACCTAAAAACGACGTAAGATATTCGTCTCACCAAAGTGCACTGAGAAAATAACAACGAAATATTTGAGTCCCTTCACATTTGGATGTTTATTTATCACAGACGAGTTGTCAACCGGCAGCAGCGGCTACGTTAGATTAATGTTTTTTTTGTAACGTCTCGATATTCCTCCCCGGAAGCAGTTTTTAAAGAGGGCTGTAAAAATAAGCTCCTGCGTCGTTCGCCGTCGTAAACTTATTTTCATTCGCATTTAAGAGGAAATAAATGGACTGATTTTGTATTACTGATTACTTTTATAATGCAAACTGCTTCCAAAATTTGATTTTTTTAACAACAAACGGGAGTTCAATTGTGTCAATTGAAAAGTAAAACAGAAAATAAATTAAAACTAATTAAGTTTTTATCTCCAAATAGAACATGAGAATATATTTGTTCGGTTGATTGTAAATTTAAAAATACAAATCTAAAAAGCTTTACCTGCGTAAAAAATTAGTGGAACCAATGAGTTTATAGGCTTAAATGTCAGTTTATGGCATTGTATGACATAATGTCATACAATGCCATAAACTGACTGAAATGTCATTGACATTCATCATAATGTGATAAAATATTGCAAAAGTAAGTGTGCATCATTTAAGTATTTGTTATAAAAAAGGTATTTTATGATTTGTCTCATAGACAGTTTCATAAAAAAAAAACTTGTATTTCCCCTTGACGAACTGTTAAAAAAAAAATTACGGCCTCGATGAATATTCTTTAATTTAAACATATTTTGTCGTTTCATAGAAATATTCGTCGAAGTCACGTACACAATTTCTCAGAGATTATTGTATTACATGTGAAAGCATATCCGTGGAAGTAAGGCAGCTCGTATTCCCCGTATCGCCGGTTTATTGTTTTCGGTTGCATAATATTTGATTGAGTGTACAGATTTACTTCCTGTGTACCATCGTTCAAGCTGTTTTAAGCTGTGTTGGGAAAATTAGATTAGTAAGAAATGCTAGTGCTATTTGAAATTCCTGAGTTTGCGGTTTAGTATATTTTTGTTTCATTCAGCTAATTTGTATTTTTTAGCTTCATCAAAAGCAATACCAATCTTTAACAGCGTTGAGTTTATTTTCCAAGACAAATTTATGAGATTATGGTATGATAATCAACCTATTATTTGTCTATGGTTTCGGATGTTTCCGAAGTAGCGAACGAATTCGTTACAAGTATTAAAATTTGCCTTTAAACGCGCTTCTATTGTTATACGCCTTGTAGATCTGATCTATTCATAATAGGAACAATACAAAGTAGCAACCGCCCCGTTTCACCTTAACCCAACTTAGAAATACAAATGAACACATTTGTCTCTTAATTACTCAATTATCTTACACAATTGTAAGCAATAAGAAAATCTGTAGGTAAGGTACTTTTAAAATAGGTCGGTAAGAATTTACTTTGAAAATATGAACGTTATAGAAGCAGGGTTCAAATCCCGGTTTCGGTACCAATGAAATTGTTAAATTCAATATGCATTGCTGATTTATTATGTCCTCGACGACTAGTTAAATACCTTAAGAAAATCTGCATACGTATATGAAATAAATATACTTCGAAGGTTTCCAATCCACGTTAGCATTGCGTGAGTGACCAGGCAAATACTATAGAACTTTGTAAATATTATAGTACTTATTCAGTACAGCTAATTAGTTTAAAATCATAAAATTCTCATAGTTATAGATTTCTTTAAAATTTTATCATTAGTAAATTTGAAATAAACTGATTTCTTATGACCGTGCAAGGTTATGTATAAGTTAAGCGTAAACTGGTATCTGTGACTAGATCAACGAACTGAGTTCGCATGTTTTAATCTCGTTGCAGTATACCCATGAGTTTTCATTATTCCTTCCTTCGGGATTTCTTACAGAAAGCACAGTCTTACGGCTTCCAGTTTGCAGTCGTACAACTAACATTTTTGCTTTCAATACTTTCTATCCACAACGTTCTATTCTATCTACCTCATTAGGTTCTTTTTTAACGAGAAAGCTTTTATAATGTGTATACTAAAAAAATGTCAATTAAATTAAGTACTACTGCGTTTAACTTTTGACGAATTGGCGAACGACGATTCTTCATTGGTATTACGTAGTAAGGAAGAAGGTAGTCAGTTAGTCATTCGATATCTTGACGGTTCACATATTTATCACGATTGATTATGCCAACTAGACTCTAACTTAACTTAATAAGACTCTACATCAAAGACTCCTTGAATTGACAAGGCTTTTCTGCAAATTATTATCCCAAAATACCAGCAAGTTTTAATTACGTTTCAATATTTCGTCCTATTGACATTCTCCTTTTGTGGGTTCCACTCAGATGTGTTTGCCAGTTAGATCCCCTTCGACGCAGAATCTCATTTAGTGTTCGTGACGTAAATTCACCCGGAAATGAAAAGCTGTCTGCCATATAAGTATTTTCACTGGTGGATTGGGTTTTCGTCCGGAAATCCCATAGCTGGCCACATGCTGCGACCCCTCGTATCTAACGTTGGAACAGACACCCTCTTTATTTGGTCATGGGGGTTAATCGTGGGTTGAATGTAGTAACATAAGTTTTGTGGAGTTCATGATTTATGTAACATGTTACACATTTTTATTTTCTATTTCGAGTCTAATTTCCTTTTAACGAGATATATTCTTATGTAAAATAATCGTTTAAAATATGAAAAAATCCATAAATTATGTATTGCGTTTTATTTTTTAGATTTCAGAACCATTTCATTGCATTGATTGCATCATGACGCTTAAAGGCCCATTTACACGATGCCATTTTCTTGAACATACAAGAGCAATAATTGAATGCAATAAATTGCGTGCAATAATTGTTTAGACCATTTGTTGTTTAGACCATGCAACTCATTTATTGCTTCAATTTAATTGTATACAACAGGCAAGAAACTGGCACCATGTAAATGGGCCTTAAGATTGGGTCAGTGTCTCGTCCGCACATACTATTTTGCATCTGTCGTCTTGTTCTTCTAGTAATTAAGGTTTCAGAAATTTGACGTTAACAGGTGCGTCGTTATATAACATTTAAAAAAAAGCGGGCGCACGATTCGAGTCTCCTCGGTCGCGGTGAAACAATCCGGTGCCGCTTTACCGCGCTCTGTCACGAGTCGGCGCGCAATGCCTCGCCGCTCGGGTCAGAACGCCCGATTGGCCCGCGAAGATGGCGTGATGTAGCGAAGGCGCGCTATCGGCGACGTAGGCGCTGCCGTGGCGCGGTGCATTGCACGCTCCGTTGGCCCCGCTCGTTGCTCGGTTGGTGTTGCCCGATGTCGGCGAAACGCCTTTGGCTGGGATTGTGTGCTAGGTCAAAAACATCTCTGTATAACTATTGTTGCTCTAAGGTGTTAGGGTTGGCGGTACGCCATAACTTCCATAATATTTGATGGAATATATTAAAAGCTTATCTATAGCTTATAAATAGACTAGTAGAATAAAATTAATGCTTATTAAAAAAATCGTGCCTATTATGTACCTACAAATTATTATATTAGCTTTCGGTGACTGTACTGTGCGAAAATTTCCCAAGGACCAATTTATGTCTGATGACTCTTATAATAATTAGAGTTAAGTAAAAATAAACAAATTTGTAATTATTTTGGACTCCTTCATATGTAAGGAATTAATGTTCGAGGTTAACTAATGAAGTATTCATCGTTTTTGGCGCCGTCGTCAATATGAATACAACGCAGGCGTCTTGAAGTCTAGTGTCACTACTAAGCATTTATTGAGCGCCTTACGTTTATGTCTACTTGTGGCCTTTCGCCAATTTCGAATAAAATAAAAAGTCCGTTGTTGACAACACGCGCGCGCCAACTGTGACGTCAGTGCCGCGTCGTCCCGCGCTATGCGACAGTCAGTGTACGTCATATTATGATTTAATGCGAAGGTCAACCACGATGTCGATGAGGCGACATATAGCCGCCGGGATATAATCTATTTAAATTTTAAACATGAATTCATCTGCCGTTACTCCAATTACAATATACGAAGCACTAGATTGGGGCAAGAACATTACGTCAAGTGGGTAGGCACAAATTATTTGATGCTCAAAAAACCTTTGACTTTAACGCTTACACCTGGATAGGTTGAGTCTTATCTCTGTCACTTTCCGATAGTCTCCTGTGTATGTACACATTGGTTTTAACCTGGCTTCATTTAAATATTACGTGATAAAAAGTCATCTACATTTTAAATTTCATTTGCGTTGGAGCGTGATGAGAAAATAGGCACATTTTCACCCATTTTTTTTACATGCGCGATTTATATCTGTATCGAATGCAACTGCTTATCTTTTTCTATTTACATATGTTTCTTAATGATATATGCTGTATAATCTAGGGCAGCAGTGAAGGTGCATCTTGTTCATTGTATACTTACGTGTGAGAATCGTGTTCTCCGTACGGGTAGAAGAAAGTTAATGAAGAATTTTATCGTTGAAGTTGCTTTCTATTCCCACTTTGTTGCCGACCAGTGTACGCCTGTTATATTTTTTATAATATTTTTTCACTTTCACTTTAATAAAATTTCATATTTAGAAATACGCCGTATTTACGGAATTTTACAATTTCAGGAATAAATTATCATATCAATTTGTCTACTTTTTAATTGCCGTGATGATATAAATAATAATATGCACATATCTAAAGATTTATTGCACATATCTAAAGATTTTGTCGACGTCTCTAGTGGGGGGAGTCAAGTTGATTTTTTGAGAATCTGTTTTGGTTACGTTACTCATCAGATGGAATTGTAATACATATAGATAAATTTTACTACTTTACGCCGGCCTTCTGTGAGCCTGTGATACTTCTACGGTTAAGATAGATTGACGATACATTTAACCAACACCAAAAGCTACTGTGTCGCTCTACTTAAAGTTCTAATCCGAGATGCAGTTATCTTCAAAGCCTAAAGCCTAGGAATATAATTCTAGGCTACATCTAAGAATCTCTTAAGATTACAATTACGCTATTTGAAGACTTGGGCATAGTTTTATTAATAACATGAACTTATGTCAGATACATGTGGTTTTATAGTACCTAGATCGAAAAAAAAACACTGTTAAGGCGATGGTTGTAAAATAAAAAGGCCCACCTTTTGAGAAAGGGAGAAATATCACAAAAGCATTTAACGTAGACATGGCAATGTTGGGGCTCCAACAATGACTGCGCTAAATAGTAGGGGACGCGTCATAAAGGAATGATTTATGTTACTGTCAAAACGTTACCGTTTTATAAGAACTCATATCTGATATTATTACAACGACGAAACGTTGTATTGTTATTTGTATATTTATATAAATTATCAGATTGCCAGTCGGCATTTCTATGACGGTATTTGTTTTCTTATATTACGAAATACCGTTACTACGTACGCACACGTCAATCCTAGGGAGCACATGATCTAGAAGAACTGCCATTTTTAAGGGTAAAATTTATCATTTATTTATTTTATTTATTTATTTACCCTTTATGCACAAATAGCATAAAGGCGGACTCAATGCCAAAGGCATTACTCCCAGTCAACCTTGGGGTGGACAATAAGTCGGAGTAGAAGGAGTGTTCAGGAACGAATAAAGAGTAGTCAGTGCGCTTAGAGAACATCGTTGACGTATTGGTAGCCACTGTAGTTAATCATGGTAAGAGGATACATGGTCATAATTGCGAAGATTGAAAACGAATCGAATGCAGTTATTGAGTTAAGTTTATTGAGGTGATCTGCAATCAGGTCAAAGTAGCAAACGTCATCATAATAAATTAAAGGGAAAATTAGGGCCTGCACGAGCAATTCCTTGGTTTTTGTCGGTAAGAAATTTTTAAAAACCATTTAAATATGATTAAATTTGTGTGAGTGAAGAAAGCTTCGTACGCTTTATTAACCGACTTCAAAAAAGGAATAAAGTTCTCAATTTAGTTGAATTTTTTTGTGTTTGTTACTACGGGACTTTGATTTTTTTTGCATTGGATTCGGTTTAGCTCCCATATTAGTTTCATTTGTATCGTATCTTGAATCCCGGAGATACATTAGGAACTCTTCAAAATCAAATAGAAAATGTCTAGCAAGTTAGATCATATCAACAAAAAACGAGTTAGATCCCATGAACAAAAAAAACCGATTTCCAATAAGTCAGTTATGTTTTTTGTTGATAAAAATAAACCTGTTGATCGTACTAGTTGTAAGCCATTGGTTGAAATTCGATCTTAATTCATTGATATATTAACTATCCTTTTTTCACTCTCATTTTCATTCACAAACATTTTAAAACTCTGACGACAATATTTTCTCTACACACTTTGACAACAAATTATTATGTGTACTCCAAATAAACATTTACTAAACCAAATATTTTATTCCTCCCAGCGTGCAATGTTCATAAAAACAGATTCAAAAGTTCTGAGTTCACGTTTTAAATATATAAAATGCGCGCGGAGTTTGAGACTTTATTAAGTTAAAATGGTAGCTACTATTAATATGATACGTATTATAAATATATTAAATGAAATTTATTATTAATTATTTACGTTCATACTCACAATGTAAAACATAATAAGAATCTTGTGATACAACACCAGTGCATACTGGAATTGCCGTTAAAAACTGACTGTGAGGTTCAAGTAAGAATATTGATAATAAATTACGGTCCAGTTTAGGCCAACGTAACGCACGATGGTTTTATAATCGAATCTGCTGATGTTATGATAAAATGGTCCTCATAGCCACAAACATCCTCAGTCGTTTTTGCAACAAGGTATTTCATGAATTACCTACTGATATTTCGAGCAATTCTGATGTCCGCACTCGCCGTGCGTTGTATTTCACAACTGCTTGCCAAGTTTCAGTTGTGTACACTGTAATCTTATCGGACGTTTGCGTGTGGGTTGGAGCCACTCCCATTTTCGAATCCATGTGCAATATTCGCGGATAACCATTTATATTTTTTTGACTGCGATTCTATACTTCATCGTCGCCACATTATTCTACAATATATTTCGACGAGAAACATTTTTTTTGTGTTTTTACGCTTTATAAAGGTTTTTTTACACCTATGTCTACATATTAGCTGTATTCTATTTTTATTTTAATGTTTTTGTTATAGTTGTTTTTTTTCTGCGTAATATACATTTTTGACATATATGTATATTTATATCATACATAACATACATTGCCTATAATTTGGATGTGCAATTAGTTTTAAGCATTTAAATTAGTGTATAGATAACCTAAGAAAGTTTTATTGTCATATCTGCAGGTGAGCTTAATAAATAAAAAAAAAATTAAAATATTTGTGCGTCCCATAAATTCATAGTCTCGATTCCAACGCACGTGCTCGTAAATGTTTGCAGTTGTCAGTTTAAAATCGATAGTTTCGATAACGTTATTTTGCCCGTTAGGCTATCACCATTTTCTGCTGCGATTTTTACTTCACAATATTTTTCTCGTCTATTAAAATGCATTTTAATATTGAGAGTGTTGTTTATTCTTTCGAAATAAAATTATAAGTCTCACAGTAGTAACAGTTCCGGTTAACTTGCCGCGTTTAAATTGACTTGAACCAATCACCTTTACAAGGTCAACGCTCAGAGTAGTCACCTATCACTTTATAATCTATGACTATCAACTTAATATTAACAATAAAGTTATAACAAACGAATGGAGATTCCTTTTTTAACTACATTGTCCCTGAATTCTTCTCCTGCTGTTGCCAAGACATTACTTAAGGTAAATGTAAGTGCTTGCACCACAATCTTGAAATTCCAGATTGTAAATTCAAAAGATATTGTAAAAATGTTTAACAGTATTGAACTTAAGAAAACGGTAGATATATGGGGGATGTCCGTTGAAGTCACTGCTTCAATAATAGATATAATTGCACCTCATTTGACAATAATATTTAATAATTGTGTAGAAGCTGGCGTATTTCCTGATTTGATGAAACACATTAAAGTCATACCTTTATTTAAATCCTGTAGTTCTTCTGACCCCACTAACTAAGAGTCGGTAGAATAGAAATAGGTCTAATCTATTTCTATTCTACCGACTCTTAGTAAAATTTTCGAAAAACTTATTCTTGATCAGCTGTTAAGACATTTTAATTTAAACAAATTATTACACAAAAATCAGTTTGGTTTTTAAACGGTGGTAGATTTAAAAAATGACTATCGATAAATGAAATGTATATTTCTTATTTCGATGAATAAATGATTTGAATTTGAATTTGACCGTTATATATATACTAATATCGATATATGAGTTTATGAACATATGTTATAATTGAAGATAAATAAAAATGCGCAAGCTTGACTAATCCTAAAACATAAAACAGCAAATGCACCCATTAGTATCAATCGCCATTTAATAGCAAAATTAAAATTGTATATAGCATAATGTTTTTCCATCGGCTATTACTGTCTTAAAACTGATAACCAAAGATCGTTTGAGATAACTAAAAAAAATATCGTGGATTACAATTTGATTCCCTACAATATTTGAGGCAATAGTATAGACGCGTTTTACATCTAATTTTTACATAACCACGGTCCATATTCTTATATATATTATATATATATATATCCATATTATTATATTAGGACACGACCACGCTTTATATGACACGTTCTTCCTCAATCACCTCATATTTTGCGGTAAATTCGGTTTACATTTTATATTTATTTGCGTATATTTAAGTTATGAACGTTCCAACTGTATTAAATAAATCTGTTCACCTGTACCTCGTATAGCTATAGGTTTTAAAGATCGATTTTGGTTTGGCCGAAAATGGAAGAAATTGGGCACGCGTTGGGCCCAACCATGGATGGGTCCACACAATGATATTTAAGCACATCGTGTATCTGTATACAATGTACATAATTAGTGATGTGTACATAGAACTTTGATAATTCATTTTACTTTTCGATGACGCAGGGGTGCTCAGCGACGTCAAGGACGAATTCGAAATTGGCGATGACAGAGCCGGCTTCCTGCAGACGGTCTTCGTGATCGCCTATATGGTGTTCGCGCCGATTTTCGGCTACCTCGGGGACCGGTACTCCAGGCGGTTGATCATGGCGGCTGGTGTCGCGTTGTGGAGTATCACAACGTTCGCCGGGTCTTTTATAACGGTAAGAGTTACAAATTGCCCTCGGATGGAATGATCATGAGAAACGATTGGATACTATATGGTATCGCTTCCCAATGATTGCCCGTATTATTTGTGCTAAAGAATAGCGGTGGAAGTGTATTGCCGTCTGGCATTCTGCTACAATTTTTGTAATTGCCACGCTGTATTTGTAAAGCAATTTTCTTAAATTCGTTGCCAAAATTAAACCCTTTGTATAGTACTCGTAGTACGATATTTAGCCAAACAAACGCTTTGATATATTATAATACTTATTTAAAGATGGAAATCACATGAATACAGTAAAAGAAAAAAAAAAGTAATAAAAAGGGATGTAGATCTCATCCAATTTGTAACTTCTCAATACTGCATTATACTTCCTTTTTTGTATATTTAATAAGGGCAAATATATAAAGTTATTTTTGTGAAGACATTTTCTAGAATTAGAGATCTATAATAGTTATCGATTTGATTTAATACTCTACATGTGGTTCAAGGTGCTACTCTCAGCTTAATGTTTTATTCGCTGACATTGTTATTAGGTTGTGTAGAGTTTAACAGTATACTCATTATCCTATTATTTCGAAAGTGCGTGACAAAAGAGCATTTCAAATTTGTAAGTATTGGCTTACGTATGAGATTTCGCGTGGTTGTGGCCGATTGTGTAAGTTGAGTGTTGACCTTATTGTCTTAGTAATATCATGTTTATTAAAAATACGGGAAATCAAATTGGCGATGTGTTTTGAAATTTTGATTTGGTTTATTATTCGATTGTGAATTGGTGGTTAATATGATACTAACTGAAATTATTATCAATTGTTGTTATAAAATCTATTAGACTCGTTTTGATATTTATCAACTACTTTATTCCTCTTTAAATATGTTATTCTAACCCGGACCATTTTTTTGTACATTCATTGTAAATACTAGAAATATTCAATATACTTTAAATCATTTAATTTACTTTAATAGGTTACTATTTTAATGAGGGTGTAGGTGGTGAAACTTTAAAAAATATTTAGAATTGAAACTTAAGGCGGCTATTGGATAATTGCACGCGGATTAAAGGTGAAATTTAAAGGACGCGTCATGTTAAGGCACATTTCTTTACAAGAGTCAGAAAAAAGACCTCTCTCTGTCTCTCTCAATCAATCAATCAATCAATCAATCAATCAAAAATATATTTATTCAAATAGACGCTTGCGCCTCCTTATGAATCGTCAAATTTTACATAAAAATTATGTGTGTTTTAAAACCCTTTAATTTATATTGCTGGTAACATTACATTGTATTGTATACAGCGAGTGGCCATCCACACAAAGGCTGTTGATGGTTTTTTTATTTATGTGTTATTTTTCAACAGAATTACTGGTTTTTCGCCGTTTTCCGGGGGCTAGTAGGCATCGGTGAGGCGTCGTACTCCACCATCGCCCCAACCATCATCAGCGACCTGTTTGTCGGCAACGTGCGTTCGAAGATGCTCGCCTTCTTCTACTTCGCAATTCCCGTTGGGAGGTAAAATCATTTTAATCTTCTACTGCCTCAGAAACACAGCCAGTTTATCCTTATTAGTATTTATTTCCGTACTATCAAAGTTAATGTTGAATACTTTACAGATATATTATACCGTTAAAGGTTATCTATCTAATTAATGATCATCAGATATTTATAGATCCGAAGCAACTCTGTGATTCATAAATTACACAAGCCTATGAACATTAGCTATGGAATGTTTTTGACGTTTTGACACGTTTATCGTTGAAAAATTAATTTAAAGTTTTTGTTCATTGTATAAAATCATATACTAAATTTATCCGGAAACGCTTTTTCTAATGTCCATGTAAACAAGTTGTTAAGTGAATCAAGTACCTACCTATTAATTTATTACTTATCGTTATTAATGTGGCGATGTCAACAGTAGCGTCATGCGTAAACAGTGACATTTTGTATGAACAAATGTACCGTGCAAGACGCTGCTGTTGTAAGTACTACAGATGTAGAGTTGCATAAAGCTTACCATGATGTATCTCGTCAAAAAGAACAGTCAGATTTTCAATTTTTTTTAAGGTAAGAGCCGTATAGCCGTAGAGCAATAATTTAACGAGATACGTTTCTACGCAACACGGTACTGATGGTGCTCGGTACATAAGTATCGTGGACGTACGATTTCAGAAAGAAATTTCAGAATTTCGAATTTTTTTAGGTTTTTTATGTGTTAACTCCGATTTTAGACAACTTAAACTTTAATCTTATTTTGTATACGTTTATTTCTAAACTATAAACATTATGTGCCTGCGGTCAACTCTTGTTATGACCGGTCAACATCTACTACGCCCAACTTCTAGGAAATGGTGGGATAACAATTTTTTCTCGTCTCGAAATGTCACAAACGGGTTTAGACTTACGCAAACAATCTCAGTACAGACTTGTTTGTATTACTATTTTGATTGCGGGGGAAAAAGACAACAACGGCTTGAATGATGCTTCCAGCGGTGCATCAAGTCTTGTTTGTATAAGAGTTCTAACGTTTTTACCTTGATCTTAATATTTTAACTATTACTGAACTTGAATATTAACAACTATTATAACGACAAGCAGCAATAGTGGTTATATCAGCGTCCGGGAACGCAGTCGAAATCCAAGTGACCACCGCTCCATGCGACCATGTGTCCCTTAGCTCGAGTAGAAACGTCATATCCGGTAAACAGTGTTGTCAGCGCCAACATTTGTACCTATTATTTCTTCAATTGCGGTGAAAAAGACGACAAAGGCTTTGATGATGCTTCCAGCGGTACACTAAGTCTCGCTTGTATTATTTCTTCAATTGCGGTGAAAAAGACGACAAAGGCTTTGATGATTCTTCCAGCGGGTTCGGGTACATTGTGGGTTCGGTGGCGGGGGCCGCGGCGGGCAACTGGCGCTGGGGCCTGCGCGTGACGCCATTCCTCGGGGCCGTGGCGGTTGTGCTCATCGCCTGGATGATGCAGGACCCCGAGCGCGGCCAGGCGGAGGAGAGCACGATGAAGCCCACTTCCTATACGGACGATTTACGGTCGCTAATCAGAAAGTGAGTGAAGAAGCTATGACTGCCTATCTTTATACGTAATAACTAGTTGTCCCGGCAAACGTTGTTCTACCATAAAAATTATTTCTAGGGAATTTGTAGGGTAGAAACAACTGTTGAGGGTGGACCACCCTTAACATTTAGGGGGATGAAAAATAGATGTTGTCCGATTCTCCACCCTGGCCGATTTCATGAAAATCGGTCGAGCCATTTCGGATGAGTTCAATTACAAACACCGTGACACGAGAATTTTATATATTAGATTTAGCTTCCGCATGTTTTTTTCTATGAAACTCGAAACTTATTCGTTGTTTTTTTTTATGTGAGAATGTGGCGGATTGATAGAAATCTTTTTTTTGTATAATTAGTGCTAGTGAAACTAAGGCCGGACGCAAGTTTGCTGTAGTCGCGATTTAAGGTTTGCGGCCTCCTATAAAGTAAAAGCTGGTGAAGAAACTTTACTCTTTGGCACAGTTTGAAAGATTCCACATATAACAAAAGTATTACATACATTTCAAATAAAACCTTCGACGACCCGAATGGCGTAGTGACCTGCGTTTTGCGCCAGAGGGTGTGGGTTCGATCGAATATTTTTTCAAGTAGTGGGACTTGAATAAATATTGTGTGATGAACGTGAAAACGAGCTGGCGGTTCACCTAAGGTTAAGGAATAACCGCCGCACATAGACATTTGAAACACCTGTAGGGTTGCACATGCGTTGCCACTTTTAAATAAAGTGGGCCCCTGGCTACCTTACACACCAGTCGAAACGCAGAAGTGTAACATTTCTACTTTACACCGGTCTTCTGTGAGGTCGTGGCAATTAACCAGACGAACCTGCCCATTCGTGCAACAGTGAACACTGTTGCGTGGCCCTACCACAGAAAAGAAAAGTATGTTTATCATTTATCAAGTATCCATAGTACAAGCGTTGCTTAGTTTGGGACAAAAAAAATCTGTCCGTCACAGATACTTCCATTATATACATATTTCCAAGGACTTGCGATACCGCAGATGTCTTTTTCACTAGGCCACTAATGCAAATACTGCTTGCTGCTGAACATATGCGTTTGTTTTGAATTTAACTTGTGCGAGTGGCATCTCGCCTTGAACCGAACTCAACACATATCTGTATAATGTCTTCGTGTAGTGAATAATGCCGAAATCGAAAATTATGGACAACTTTCCTTAGGATATTTTATATTCTTACCATTGTGGTCACCAAGGTGTGTGACATTTGGTATGGTTAATGTTTATATCGATAAGTTGTGCAGAATATTAAACGTTTATACAATATGTGTTACAAATACTTTTAAAAACTGTCTGCTGTATGAAAAATGTCTGTCAATGTCACAGAGTACACATATGTAATGTATGAACGTAATTAACGTAATTAACAGTATGAACGTAATTCATACTGTCAATGTCACAGAGTATAGATTAAAGCTAAGGAATATTAAAGTATTAAATTGACTGTAATGTGTCGGAGAAACATAGCAAATCATAAAATTTAAAGAAATAAGGTTAAATTTCACAGAATAGACGGCAATTATTAATAGTTATAACTTTGCGACGTTAAGCAAATAATTATAAGAAAATATTACAAGAATATGAATAAGGCAACTGCCGACCTAACAGTCAGTGGTGAAGGAAAACATCGTGAGAAAACCTGCGTATTTTCGAAATAAATTAAAGAAAAATTAAGATATTTGTGAAGTGTGGTCGCGTGGTGGGCCATGTTAGGACATAATGCACGACCCTCTGCACAGAGGAGGTTTTGCCAAGCACTTGGACATTCAGGAGGAACTGAACGAGGTCACAAAAAATGAGTTTTGAAGTGCTTCGAAGATTGGAAAAGACGTTGGCACAAGTGTATAATATCTGTAGGGGATTACTTTGAAGGGGAAAAAATAGATATTCATGAATAAATAAATAATTTTTGATAAAAACATTAAATTCGCGATACTTTTAGAACAGACCTTGTCTAGGCTGTTACTTTATGTTAATTTTACACAGTTGATTTTTTATATTGCAATCGATCGGTGTGTTGTATGTTCGAATAGGACTTCAGCTGGGTTTTTGTTGAAAGTGGTTATTTACTAACGTTGCCAAAATACATACCCGAGTATTGATCCACCCCAATTTCCTTCTAATATTTTTTTATTCTATTGTGTACGTCTACGCGAGTCCACAACAATTTACGAATAGCTATGTAATACATACAATATACATACAATGAGAACAGAGTGACTCTTATTAGCCCGCATCGCAAATAGCTCGGACCGTCTGCTGCGGTAAATGGATGCTAAGTGACGTGAGGAAATCGAAAAGCAATTTTCTTTGGTTATACAATTAGTGACGATACTAACACAATAATTTTTACGCTCCAGTTGTTTTCTTAGACGATTGTTAATTACGACAGTTTACACTGTCTGTTCAAGTCATTGCAATTTACGTACTGTTTCATTTCAATTTGTTGATTAGGTTTTCAGCTTGTTTAATTGATTGATATGTCTAATGAACTTATTAAAAGTTGTGCTTACTTAGAAAAACAGATATTTTTGTACCGTCCGTAATCGTTTTATGTTTGCGGGCTATTTATGAACGTACAAATTTTAAATGACTAATTTATGTATACCTTTTGTATAAAACTCATTCTTTCATACTAATTTAACTGTATTGGGGTTTCCGGTTCCTCGTTCGAACGAAATGATATTTTATATAAGATTGCAGTATGTTGGATTAACTAGATAATATATAGATAACTAATTGACCCGGTAAACATTGTTTTTCCATATAAATTATTTCTAGGTAATTTGTAATTCTGAACGTATGAGAAAATTAAATTGTTGCTATTTCGATTTTCCATCCAATTTTTATATATAGAAAATTTGCCAAATCGGTCTAGTCGTTATCGAGACTAACAAACACCAATAAATTTTTACATAATTATAGTTAACATATTAATAATAACTTCATCGAGGACTATATAAATCTGGTGTATAACTTCTTTCTCTATCAGGTAAAACTTGTTATATACGGAAGTTCATTTATATATATATATATATGGCATACCATATATGTTATATATATATATGGAATACCTATATTGGAGAGGTACAAAAGCGGAAATCGGAAAAATAATATTAGCTATGTTATACAGTTTCAACACGTTTTTTGATTTATTTTAAACTTGTTCTAATGTCAATTTGTAGCATACAGAACTAATGCGTGTTTATTCTACAAGTTTCTTTAGGACTCTAGTCTCGAAGTTAGCGACTTCAACAAACATTGTACTAAACATTATTTTTTTGTATTGATACGACATAATTGGTACTGCGTATAAGACATTTTTCGCATGTGTTTAATATTTATGTCAATTATTGGTTAATTGTCCTTTCGTCTCATGTGTTATTTACTTGCGTGCAGCGGCAATTTAATTCTTTGCTAGGGGAGGTATTTTACTCGCCGCACCCTATTCCACACCCTTCAACTGTGTCGGGCACCCTATTGAATGTATTAATTTGTTTGCTGCCGACATACATTTATTTCGTAAATCGATTAATCATCGTGGTCTCCTAGTCTCGACCAATTTTTAATTGCGTAGGTACTTTTTTTTTCGATAAAAACGCACACACTTACACGTATAAACTAATGTTTGAGCTTAAATTCATTTAATTAGTTAGCGAAGTTCACTATCAATGACTAATTGTTAATAGGTACTCCACTTGCTTGTGACCACCGTATGAATAGACGAATTTCACGCTAATTAGTTATATTAGGGATTATGTGCTTAAATTGCATTACAATGATTTACATCGAAGCAGAATGCATGAATTCCCAAAGTACGTTCTTATTCCAAATAAGTTAACACCGTTCAGCTTGGTGAAACTAAGTAAACTTAAAAAAATACATGGATACAGGGGAATTGAATCTAGGCCACTCTGATTCGAATGCCAAACCACTTGACTAGCAATCTACCTATTTATCTTGCTTTGGTGTTATCTTGAGTGTCGACTCGGCGGAAATCGTTGTGTTACTAGCAGCAGAGATACAAAACTTTTTTAACCATACTACACGCAAAAAACTTAACCATAATCATTAATATTATGATTCATATGTTGTGCCGACCCTACAACTGCAGATTAAGAGCAGGAGAAAGAAGAAGAAGAGGGGTACTCTTCTTCAAAAAAAAGTGTGTGTGGACATATGTACGCGTTAGAAGTTATACTTCTTTGGCGTAACAAAAATCTTTTCAAAAATTTTATCTTTCGCCTTATTCTAAGTTTGTAGAAACAACGCCACTAACAATAGAAAAAAGGTATATAATACATTGAAAGTTTTATTATTTCGCATTATATAGTTAAATAAAGTTTATTTAAATATCACAGAATAAATATCGTGAATACCGTTGTCAGTTCTCACGCAAACAGACGTAGATGTTTAGCTAACTTCAGGGTGTCGGTTTTTCGTGACGGTGTGCGTGCGAATCGTAAAAAATTACCGTCATAATTTTTCCCTAACGCGCCAAAAGAAGTAGAACTTCAAAAACTTTATTCCTCTGATGTTCGTCTGAGTCACAGGGCTGTATATTTTTTATTGCTAACAGAATGGCTACATGCGACGTACGCGGAGTATTGCTATCTCGTTCGCGCGACAGACCAAACGGCGTTCTCTCCATCACTGTCCGTTAGTGTACAATCGCGTAAAATATACGTTAAGATATGAGATATCTGTAGGGTAGTTTTGCGTGTACAATTGAGTAAATACATTAAGATTGAGATATGGGAATTTTTGCACTCGACGGTACGCGACTGCGCATAATGTTTTCATGAAAGCACGGGCAAGTTGTTAGTTAAGTAGGTAGTTGTTTATTCATATCGGACTCGCTTCCCCGTTCCGCAGTCCATCCTTCATGCTGTCAACGCTCGCATTCACTTGCGTCGCTTTCGTGACGGGAGCGCTCGCATGGTGGGGGCCTCAGCTGATCTACCTTGGGCTGAATCTGCAACCGGACGTCAAAATCACCAAAGAAAGGTGAGTTCACACCGTCGCCTCTGCACGCGAGTTTCTCGATGTTATTCGCCAAGCAGGTGCCCGTCTAACTACACCCTAACAGTGGTACCTACTTAGCACGTGAGAGTTGTATCCTTTATGGGCTCTACGTTCGATGAAGTTTCACCCAATAAAGTGTGTGTATGTATAAGAATTAATACCAGTGACACCGTATTGTCTTATTTTCATAAAGAAGTACTAAATATTATAATTTGTATGTTTCGAAGATGTTTAAACATTTAAAATCGAAAGAAAATAAGGAAAAAAATGGTGAGCGTTTACGACCGAGTGCCGTCTTTTTTCATTTTTCATTTATATATACAATGGCAATATATGTATAAGATTCCGTTCCTTTTATAGATGGAAAAAATCCACTTGTCTTATTAATTGACGGAACACATTAGTTACTAAATTGCACTTGCCATTAAATTTCATGTTTTAGATATAATTAACCGATACAAGAGAAAAATGGTACATAAATGTCGGCACACGTTTCATTCCTTCAAGAATATCATTAAATACGTAATCATATTATTAAAACTTAGAATGTCCATTTAGATTTTATTAAATAACAACACATTTATAATACACTTAATAACACGTTATGTAAATAGTATTACAGGTTGACTTAATGGATTTTCGTATAAAATTTAGTAGTACTCGCAAATTGCTACAGAGAAAGTTATTTAGACTACTATTCAAAACAAAGAAATCTATTTAACACATTACAAGTCCTGTATAAATTATTTTTATTTCATTAAACTTTATTCGAAATAACTTTGATAAAAAAAAGTTGGGTCTTGATTAATTGTTGGGCTACAAATTAATACCAATTTTCCACGTATTACACGCTAAGAGAAAAAATCTACAGGAAATATACCTAGCTTGTATTTTTGTTTAAATATTTCGGTGACATGTGAATCCTTGAGTCGCTTGAATGCCTGATTTGATTACCTGCTAACATCGATAGATGTCGTCATAATGAGCAACAACATCTTTGTTGACTATATAAATGTTGCAAATAAAAAAAATGTCAAAATAACTCAATAATTGGACATGATTCTGGCAGCTTTTGATACGTGCACGCATTACACTGTGTTCAATCGTAGAAGCTTTATCTGTTGTCTATGATTTGTTTCGAAGATCATACGGGATTGCGAGAAAGGCTTCTATGAGTGTGATTCGGTCGATTAAGTTCGATGCGACACTCCATTATTGCGAGATATATTATAGCGTGTTGTAAAGTACGCACAAAACTAAAATGAGACTCTGAAGTTCGTCCAAGTCTGCGAAGCGCACTCAGTTTATCAAGATCGAACGTATTGACTGTCCTTGGATTTAAATCTCTCTGACGCTAAAAAAATTTCACTGTTTTTATTGGACTCATTTAACGAGCAAACGATTTTTGTTCACGACTGTACCCGCGCATTTAAGTTTTGCGCGTTCCATACTAAAAACACGCTACGCGATCTGGCGCGTAGCGCTTCGCTTATCTCGAGCTCGCGCGACCTCGTCGGCACGCGTACGGCGTCTCGACCGTTCTCGCGCGAGCTCGAGCGAGCTCAGTCGAGTGACGGCCGGCCGTTGGCGCGGGCAGCGTGTCCTACAAGTTCGGCATCGTGGGCATGGTGGCGGGCGCGACGGGGGTGCCCCTCGGCGCGGCGCTAGCGCAGCGGCTGAGGGCGCGCGTGCCCCACTGCGACCCGCTCATCTGCGGCATGGCGCTGCTCGCATCGGCGCCGCTCGTCTACCTCGCACTAGTCGCCGTCTCGACGCGCGTCGCCGTCTCCTACCTTCTAATCTTCCTCGGAATGCTCACGCTCAACCTCACCTGGTCGATCGTCGCGGACGTCGTCCTGGTGAGCCGAAGACCGAAGCCCTCCCCCCCCCCCCCCCCCTACCTCTACCACTCTCCCTATCCCCCGCCACCGACCGCAGGTTATTCCAATGGGGGAACGTTGCGTACCGTACTCATGACTGCACTGATAGGGAACAGCGCCCCACGCATCATGTCTGTTTTGCTCATGTCATGGCTGATTCGGATAACGCTAGTCGTGTATAGCATGAGCGGCCCACTAAACCCGTATACGATCATCGCTAATATCGCTATGTCTATAAAATAGTTTATATTTATTAGTTCTAAGCTATGTTCGCACCACAGCCGTCATCCGTATTCTCGCATGCTGACGAGTGAAAATATGTCGAATGCGCTCGCGGATTCGTAACCACCTGCGGCACAATAATCCCATCAGGTCCATCGCTCGATCACTCATCTCGCATGGCGTAGCGTATTCGATGTATTTGCAATTCGATCAACGTCGCCCAAGGGCCGCTCTCGGAGTAAAGTCTTCCAAGATGTGGATATAAAGCGGGCTATCGTAGTCCAACCTATTCGGATGACGGCTGTACAAAACGCCGGAGTCGACCGTCGACCGGGCGGTGTGCATGCACGGACGCCGCCGCTGACACTGGCGCTCTTGCACGAAGGGTGTCGCTAATCTTCGGCGGGGTCACGATGGCGTCGGGGCTGGTCGGCGTCCCGATGGGGGCGTGGCTCGGCGCGGCTCTAGTGAAGCGCTACCCGCGCGCGCACGCGGTCATTTGCGGCGCGGGCCTCCTGGTGTCCGCGCCCGCGATGGCGCTAGGGATGCACCTGGCGAGGGAGAGTTTCTACGCGCCGTTCGCCCTCATGTTCGTCGGCGAGCTCGCTTTGAATCTCAACTGGGCAATCGTGGCCGATATGTCGCTGGTAAGGGGCCGCGAATCGGTTTTCCTGTGTTTCTCCTCCACCCCTCGGGTCCATTATCGTAGTGACCACACTGTAGCATACTGTGCACTAGCAATGGTAGACTAAATATCCCTCTATTAAAAGTATTACTGTTAGTAAACGATAATGTTACGTAAATGATAGTGAAACACTCGAAAACTGTTTATTACTATAATTTGTATTTTGATCTGTAAAAGGTGGTGGTACGTTTACTTGCATGCTCCATTTATTTAATATATTTGTATAGCATGCTTGTTTCACAATCATTAAAATGTTCACGAAATCAGTCACTCATGAGTACGTTATATGGTACAAAAACCTTATATTGTGAAATACATTACCTCATTGGAATAACTTTGCTTTCGTTTGATGGTGGTGACTGATTTCTCTTTCTAATAGTAGCGACATCTACCGGTAAAGTTTTGTAATATTCTAGTCAATACTATTCAACTTCGCTAAGATATCTGGTAATTCCAATATATACATATAGATGGCGTTATTGTAAAATACAGATTTATAATTATACTGTAAGAATATTTGCCATTTCTTTCAATTAAAGTATTATTATATTATGATGTAATTTTATAGTGACCTAGAAAATATTGAAATCTTCATTTCAATTTCTTTTATACTAAACCAAATTTAGAGTTTGTTGAATTTCCCCGACTGACATTATTTTAAGAGTTAAATGCAATTTATATAATTAATATTTTTTTAACATATTTATTGATATAATTTTGTGTATGGGTTACAGTATGTGGTAATTCCTCCACGCCGTTCTACAGCGGAAGCGTTCCAAATCCTGATATCACATATGCTGGGAGATGCTGGAAGTCCTTATTTAGTAGGAGTGGTATGTGTTGGAAATATTTATGTAAGCCTTTGTATAAATATAATATACGACGACATGCCGTGTCGCTTCATACCAGATGTCAATTTTATGGCACCGTTATACGCTCGCGTCAATTCAATATTTTTTTGTTTTTATTATTTAGTTTTGTTTTAATTTCGTTGAATGGTTTGTGTACATTAATGTTTTTCTAATTGATTTACGAAAAGTATTTGAATGTTAAAAGTAAAGTATCAGCCTATACATTTCCCACTGCAGAGCAAAGGCCTCCTTTACAGATGGTTCAGGGCATAGTCCACCACGCGACACCACTGCGCATTGGCGGACTTCACATATCCACATAATGAGTACCGCATTGTCAAAAAGTTCTGTTTTTAGGGAATAGAATTCTACCGAGTCTGAACCTCCTGTGTGAATTTGGGCACCTTTAGAAAAGCCACCTGTATAACGTGGCGCTACTATCGCGACCATAAATCAACACACATATAGAGAATACATTTTTAAAACTAGAAGAAAATTACATTCTTTAAACATTAATATTTACTGAGTTATTACATTTTCCAAAACAAACAATTTTAGAACACCCATACTACGTATAAAACTGTAACGTAAAGTTCATTTGTAAAGGTCACAAAGCAAATTAATGGGTTGAATGAATTTAAAACGAGATAAAATACAAAATACTGTTGCACGAATGGGCAGGTCCGTCCGGGTTAGTACCATGACTTCACAGAAGACCAATGTAAAGTAGAAGTGTTACACTTCTGCGTTTCGTCTGGTGAGTGAGGCAGCCGGGGCCTACATTCTTGAAAGGAGGCAACACATCTGCAACCTTTGTTGCAAATGTCCGTGGGCGGTGGTTATTACTTAATATCAGGTGAACCGCCAGCAAGTTTGCCACTTTCTCACGTAAAAAAAATACTGTTAGAAGGAGAGACTTGTAATGCGACGCTGTGGCAACGAATAAAAAAGTGTCTGAATGTATGAATCAGTCGGTTGTAGTTTTATAGGTGTTATAAATTTTGTTTCTTTTTTATGTAATTAGTTTGTTTGATAAATATTTTTTTTAATTATGGATTTTTTTTAACGTTTTTAATTTTTTATGAATATTGGCAAGTAGCGTTTGAAAAATTCTGCCTTTATTGACTAAAGCAGTATATTATATTATCTAAATTAGATATTTTTGAAAGAGGTAAATTTTTCTTCGCTATTAAAATTTTTAATGTTATCTTAATGTTTATTGATTTTGTAATATAAGTTTACGCTGGTAAAATTAATAATTTAATTTTAACAATTTAATTTACATAATTTTAAGAATATAATTTAATAAAAATAATGCTTTAATGACATGGCCCATAAACCATCTCATGTTACCAATTTGTATGTCCCGATATGTGGCTGAACATGATAGAACTTTTGGAAGATAATAAGTTATTGGCGCGTTTGAAAAAAAATATGGGACTAAAGTTTTGCAAAGCTTGTTTAGTATAATTTAAAAAATTTTGTTTAAATTATACTAAAGAAACTTACTTTTGTAGAGTAATCCCAGAACACTTTTTTGAAAACATTAATTGTTGTAGGATGTGATGTCATACTTTCAAAATAATTAATATTCTATTAAATTATTTCCGATATGCACTCTCACTCATTCGTATCAGACTGCCGAGCGGCCGTCTTCGAATTTTTTCTTCTTTCTTTCTTCTTGAATCGTCTTCATATTACGAGCCTCACTTTATTACTACATTACGACAAACATGATTATTAATAAACCTAAATAATATTTTCTGGTATTTTCAGATATCTGAGAGTTTGAAGAAATCCTTAGGCACGGGACATATGGAGACACCCACACAAAGTGTAGAATTTAGAGCATTGCAGTATGCACTTTTCGTTACATGTTTCGTCGAAGTTATAGGCGGCGCGTTCTTCTTGTTGACAACTAAATACATAATCAAAGATAAACAAAAAGTGGACAGAGCAATCGCAGGTACGATATTTTAATCAATTTAATTATACCTCCATTACTTTTTCTCATATGTGTTGGTATTGTTGATTTTCTTTTATGCAATCTTTACATTGTTTCAGTGTCCTCAAAAATAGTTTAGTCTTAGGTAGGTAGGGGGCAGGTCAAAAACAGGCTTGATATGCATGAGATTAGCTACACTCATCATCATCCAAGCTGTTGTTTCACCATAATAATGTTTTGTATTATAAATAATAATTAGTGTTAACTTTTATTGTAGAAGCGGAAGCACAGAACAGCGATCCTTCACACAGTCAAGCCCATGAAGAAAACATACTTGGTGAATAGATTAATGATGGTCAAATTACATGTCAGTCTCTATTAAGGGATAGGTTTGTGAGAGCTGTGACTATCATTTTCGAATAAGATGTTCCTCAGTCAAATGACTAATTATTGTTAAATGAATAAATACCACTATGTGGGTTAATGTAACAATTATATAGTAATTTGATTGCAACACGCAATAGAAAGACTGATTCGTAATGCATAGCATATGTACAATTAGACAAAGTAAATGGGTTAGGAGCCTGTGTGAAAGCAATAGAGTGAGATATGATACTAACATTTAGAATTAGCCTTTGTTGGTGAGCTATTACTAAATAACGAAAAGCCTACTTAATGAAAATAATTTATTCAGAATTTATCATGGGCATTTTTAAAATCCAACCATTATTTATAGATTCAAAGTATTATTGTAGGTAATATAGCCAGATTAATTGACATTGTTACTTAAAATGGATTTAATAGTGCTTCTAGCAATATCCTTGCATGTAAACAAAGATTGAAGTTTTATGCACTGTTGTATATAGCCCATGTTGAATTATTATTAATTATATTACCTCAAGTCCTTGTTATAAATAAATAGATTTTATATCACCTTTATTTATTTACCTCTTTGTTAACTATTTCCAGTTTTATTTTAAAAAAAAATCCGTTAATTTTTTATATTAATACAGTACATCAATATGTATATATTAAAACCATATTTTAAAATGTAAAGTTTAACTCAAACAAATATGATAAATCATGTGTAATAAATGAAAGGATAAATCTTGTTTACTTTTTATGAAAGCTGTATGATGTCAAAGACTGAATTGTTTAAATTCCCCTGAAATGGTATATTCAATGGGTGTTTTATTGTGTAAATATCATAATTAGAGAATGGAATTGAAATAAAAATACAACATAATTTATTTTTCAAAATAGTAGTTTTATTTGCTCAAATAAAGCATGTTCTTAATCTTTAATCATATTAAGAAAACATACCATAACATGATAAAATGTGTATGGTAATGTCGGTGGGTTTCAGCATATCACAATAACACTTAATATCAAACTTCTCTTAAGATATATATACTGGATACATTTTGTTAACTAACACCCAATTTATTTAAAAGTAGACATCCTTTAATTTAATGTATTTATAAATGTTATAAATGTTTATGTATTTATAAATGTTAACAATTATTTTGGTAACAGTCATCTATAACTTTTATTGTATTTTAATTACTAATGTGAAAAAAAAAATGGATGTAACAGCAGGTAACATTATAGGAAAACATTAACAGCACCAACATTACTCATCTTAGAAGTTATAAAAATTAAATTACTGCACAATGCAGGAATCAATCACATTTACAATAAAAAAACAATATCAGTCATTAATAACAATCATTAACATATAGGCACTAGGCATCATCAATTAATGTTCACATTAAAATTATACTTAAAATCAAAACAATAATTAAAAATAATATGGCTTTTTATAATGTGGCATCAAGAAACAAACACACTGTCAATGGAATTCTTTCAATTTTTTTTTGTCAAATAACATTTATCAAATTGAGGCGGAATTTAGTCTTCTGAACAATAGCTGTTAGTGGAATTTGTGTTGTCATTTTGTAATCCAATAATTTTGTATGTATCCATTCTAAGTTTCTTTGGATCTGGTTCACAAGAATTGTAACTGTCACTCAATGCCCTTTTACCTGTAGCTACTAGCCTTAGTACTGTGACATTGTCAGTATTATTATTTTCTTCATCAGAGTTTTGAGATGAAGTTGTCATTTGTTTGAAATCTTTAATTTGGACAGCTTGGAACAGTAATCTGTCAATTTTCATAATTACCACTGGATCCTGAAACAGTGGAAGTTGTGGAGTCTATTTAATGATAGAATGTGGGATACATGAACAAGATCAAGGGATGGGAAAGGAAAGCCTACTTCAAACATAATTCTTGATACTTTACTTTCATCGCAAAAAACAGGCAGAGGATTATTTATCATAATTGTCTCAATCAGTGTGATTGAACATAATTGGAGTTTCCCCTTAAAATATGGTTAGGACATTGTGTACCTGCATCCAGCTGTGGTTGAGAATTTGGTCAAGACTTATTCGCTTATCAACATTCACAGTGAGCATTCTCTTCATTAGCAGTTTGGCCGGCAAACTTATGTTTCTCCAATGCTCATGAGAAAAGCGGTATTTCCCCCTTAGGATTTGATCTCTCAATGTTAGTTCTTTGTATTCAGGAGAAAAGGGCAAGTAACCTACAAGGCTGAAAGGTATATTCCCATTAACACATGTACAAGGCAAAAAATAAAATAAAATTTTGTGAATCTTTTAATTACCAGACAAAAAAGATAACTCCCAAACTCCATACATCCACTTCTGGGCCATAGCAGTTTTGTCCGTTCGCTCTTAATACTTCTGGTGCTAAATATAAGGGTGTTCCACACATCGTTTTCATGAAGCTATCTTCCCCTACAAATTTGCTAAGGCCAAAGTCAGTAATTTTTACCAATGTATCATCTTTCTTACTCTCAAGCAACACATTTTCAGGCTGCAATAAAACAAAATGTGTGATTTAGATTTTGTGCTGAATTAAAATTGCTGATTGAAGTTGTTCCACAATATCTGCATGTGTTCAATCTAGTACTAAAGTCAAAATTATCACTAGACCAAAAATAATGAAAATCCATGTTCACCAAAATTAAATAATGTTGTAAGGGGTGAACAGAATAGCGATTTTAATTGTACTGCTTAATGATTTGAAATCACCAAAAATATGGAAACACCACATTATGATTTCCCAAGTCCTTAACATATAATTGTGTAAAGTGAGGTATCAACATATTTAGTAAATAATACATGTGTAATGGAGTGACATTTCAATTGATTTTACCTTGAGATCTCTGTGTGTAATTCCTTGAGAGTGCAGGTATTTCACAGCCAGCACCATTTGCCTGAATAGAAATCGTGTAAATTGCTCCGATAAATGCCCTTGTTTAGTAATTCTATCAAATAGTTCTCCACCTTGCATTAATTCTAATACAATGTAGACTGTGTCATGTGAATCAAATACTTCTTCAGTAGAAATTATACAGGGCTATAACATATAAAAACTAAGATATATTTTTATAAAATTTAATAAGTTAATATATGCACTATTGGTTATGAAATAGATATAGAAATGAAAAAAATAAAATAAAATATATATATATACAGTATGTCTTTACAATCGCGACAATAAATGAACACACATATAGGGGATAACTTTTTAAAATTGTATTAAATATTTACATTCTTTAAACATCAATATTTACGGAGTTATTAAGTTTTCCAAAACAAAGAATTTTAGAACACCCTTACCTATAAAACTGTAACATAAAGTTCATTTGTAAAGGTCACAAAGGATATGAATGGGTTGAATGAATTTAAAAGAGACAAAACATACTGTTAAGGATAGGCTTTTTTTATGATTATTAGCAAGTAGCGTTAGACGTGTGTTCATTTATTGTCGCGATGGTAACGACACTCTGTATATGTATATAATATATATATATATATATATATATATATATTGTGACCGTTTAATTAGAGTGTAATAATGGAACACTATCAATTTCATACTAACATGTCTTAATGCTTTCATAATGTTAACTTCATTCATAATTTTTTGGGGATCATTTAGATTGTTAATTTGACCATTTGTCAATCGAAGTTTCTTAATAATTTTCATGGCATGCTTTGTGCATTTAGTCTGTAAAATAAAAAATAATGTTGTGGGCAACAGCTTATTGAATTATGATAAAATAGCACAATAAAACTTAACTAATAAATTATTCAAGAAACAAGCCACACTTACTTTATCATATACTAATTTAACAAGACCACAAGCTCCTTGCCCTAGTATCCTAGATATATAATATTTTTGGGAAACTTCCTTTGGAACTTTTTCTTCATTTTTTAACAAATCCTTGTAAATAAATACTGAAACATAGATTCAAAATATGTGATGTAAAATAAATTATGAAATATATAATATATTAAACATCTGATTCAACAGAACTTGCATAAATGCCTAGTTTTGTCCGCAAAAAGAATATTCAGATATGGCAGTGTTCTAAAGATGATGTGAAAATAATTTACAGTTGGGTAATATCTGGTTAAACTATGTACCTAAATATAATTTTGGACAATTCTAAGGTAACTTGTAGTGCTACACATTCATATTCTACCATCATCATATTCCTTTGTACTTAAGCAAACTAGTTTTTAAATTATGGTGTTATGTGACAAATAAAATTATTTACTTAATTTTAATCATAAAGAGAACGAAAATATAGTAGGGAAATGTTTGTGTGAAATGTATAAATGTTTGTTTCAAGAACATTCATATATTATAATTAAATTTGCAATAACGTAGTATAGAAAAAGAGAATACATACTTTTGACGTTGGGATGAGTTACAGCTATTTTGTCATTGTCATCTAAGACCCTGCTAAAGCCCTTACCAATATTTTCGCCATTCACAAATGTTCCATTAAAGGATAAGTCTGTAATTATAGCTGGACTTAGAGGTTCTCTGCAAGTAATATTTAATATTTATTCAATTAAATTAAGCTAAAAGAAGAAAAATTATGTTATTAGAAAAGGTTACTTACAACAAGTTTCTCTTAATTACAAAATGTTGTTTACTAACACTTTTTACTATGTTTTCCTTTATAATATCTTTCTTCATAACAAATGAGCAGTTTAATGCTCTGCCCAGTGTAAATTCAGGCTGTATTAGGTCTGAAAAATATTTTATAATTGAAGTTTCCAAACTTTTTTAAATGTTGAAGGTAGTTCCGGCTGTAAATTCAAGTTATATTCACCAAAAAAATCTCACCATAATATGGAGGATACTCTTTTCCAGTATCTTTCCAACAATGTTTTTCATTCAAGGATACTTTCGTTGAATAGAGCCTACCCCAAATATTCGGTATAAAAGATGGAGTATTCGGTTGGCTCCAATCCACTTGCGATTTTTGTGTCTGTGTTTGAGTATTGTCGTCGTCTCCCATTATTAATGTTTATTTAATATAAAATATTACAGTAAACATAAATGATTGCCTTAAATTTTAAAAGTGCCGGCATGAGAGCGGCAAACTAAGACTGGTCAGTCACTTTAAACTTTAATTTAATTCTAATTCGTACATCAACTTTGTAAAGTTTTTTATCACATCCACTTCTTTGATCCTTCCACTTCCGCCAGTGTCGCCAATACTTAAAACATAAAATTTTATCTCCATTTGACGACAATTTGAAAATATAGGTTTTTTTCTAATATTATTCTCATCTTTTATTCTTTTCTTCATAATAAATGATTTCAAGTAACGTAATAAAAAACGTAAAAAATAATGGTTATTATTAAAATAATTACAATTATTATTAAACGAAGTGAAGGCACGAAAACATTCCAATTGGGATGTCTTGTCAGGTTAGGCCTTAGGCAGGGCCACAGAACACTTTTACTCAAAGAGCACTGGGCAGGGCGGCGAGCAAGACGTGGTGTCAATCATTTTTCACTGCTAAAGATGCCATCCTGTGTCTTTAAAAGAGGTTCCAAGTACGACCGTAAAATTAACAAAATTCAAGGGATCATGTACATAATGCAATATATCTTCTATTTATATTTCGATTATTTTCCTAATATCTTAATTTGAGTAAGTTAGGAAACAAAAAGGCAGTCAATTTTAATATGATGGTACATCCAGACAGTGGCTGCAAGCAAGCGCGGGGATTGTAGAAAATTTTTGCAAACAGCCCTTATTCTGCTATGGATTCTAAAGTATAAAGTGGTAAATAACTGAATTGTTACTTTTTTTTAAACATTGCCCTCACTTTATTATCCATAGTATCCTATGTTGTAAGGACGTTTACAAAATAAGTTCATCCGCCGCGCAACCGGTGCGCAATGGTATCAACGCAACGTCGACCTGCACAGCGATGGCCGACTCCCGACGATTCGCGAATATTTTAAAGACCTGACCAAACGGTTCTTCGGTAGAGCTGAACATCATCCCAACTCTCTGCTGGTAAGCGCAGCAAATTACCAACCCGACACAAATGCGAACATCAACAAGCGTCGCCCACGAAACTCATCGACCCGGTCGAGAAAGGGGACTTAGACACGTCGGACCCACGGTCCCGCCGGATAACACTACACCCACAGCTAGTGTAACAACAAATACAATAGTTCGCCCTCCCAACTCCCCTCAGAGCGAGATCAACACAACGCGTACACAAGGTACACCCGCGTTCAAGAGCGGTTCTCACCGTCCCCAGCCACCGATTAGCTAAAAACACAGTCTACGGCCATCGGGGTCCCAATCCGAACCGCAACCTCGATAGCCCTTAAATGACATATCATAGATAAACGCACGCATGAGCACATGCGCGGCCGTACCTACAGCGGAGGGCCCTAACCCGTGGGTTCTGGCTAGCCCACCGGTTTTGTGTCAGATGACACAGAAATCTCTGAATCTGAATGATCTCGGGACTGAAAGCAAAAACATCAGTTAATACAAGATACAACTATCTGTGGGTCGCACAAATAGTTGTCCCGTGTGGGAAACGAACCCACGAACCCCGATGCCGAAGCCAATACCTTGGCAACTGCGCCACGGAGTCATCATAAAAGTTTCACTCAAAACATTAAGGCTCAGGCTGGGATGAGTGGGTTTAAATATGTAGGGCCCACTTTGGCGTGGGGCCCGTAGCAATTGCTACTCTTGCTACGTGATTAGTCCGGCACTGTATAATAGCTACATACTTACTAGTTACAGTAAGTTATTTTTGAATAAAGGTGATCTTCTTCATTAATTATCAATTTTATTACTATCTATATTATCTATAACGATAACAAATCCTTTAGCAAAGGTCTGAGGTCAAACTATCTCTTAGATTTTAGAGCCTTGTTTAGTATTTGTTCAATGAAACATGACAACGTTTCAGCCCCTCCCAGGACCAGAGGCCCAGGGGCTGCCCCTGTTAGTCTTGAGAGTTGCGTTGAAATGATTGTGCCCAGGTTACTTTACTGCCACATCCTACTGATCATCTGTGAGGCCGTGTTAATTCCCTGGATGAGAACACAAAGTAAAATTATTAATTACTGCACAAAATACGTTTTTAATGATTTTAAAGATATTTTTGTCTTTTATTTTGCAAAACCTGAGGTGAAAAAGTTCGTATTCTAAATTTTAATTATCTAAATATAAACCAGTTCAGTTGGGATTATTGGCAGTCATAACAAATGAAATCCATTTTTAGATTTTAAATAAACCCTAAACACGGGTTGGCATTCTGTTTCCCTATAACATTGAAGTTCATTACGATAGAATGTCAAAGTTTTAATTGACACGAGATATGAATGCAGTCACATGTTTAACCCTTTCCCTGGGAATAAATCCTTCAACGTGTAACGATGCTTTTGAAAGCGTATCGGAGTAATCTCTTGATATATTCAACGTTTCGTAGGTATCGGATAGAAGCAAAATTGATTTTTTTTGTTTATTTACACTAACGTCGAAAAAGTTTGAAAAGAATTGCTCAGTAATATTAAAAAAAAGAGTCTCTTCACGAATTACTATTCCGTAGTGGAATCTCAAGCCGGACTTATGCAACCAGTACAGAGATCCTTCCTGTCCAATAGAGAGAAAACATAAATACCTAACAATCCAGCTTAACAAACCATGAATAAATGTTTGTATAATAATTATTTGTGTAATTATTCATTCACAAGTGGTAGCGTGACGCCGTCGCAATTTCAACCTTATTATTTCTTCTGGATAGGTTCCTTTATTGATTGCGATCCAAGCCGAGTTTTAAACCTCCATCTGATGGGCCCTTGGTGTCGTGTACTGTTAGTCGATTGTCCATCTATCGTTAGCAGGGAGTTCCGAAGTGCAGCGTAGCGAACGGCGTCTTCGTGTCGTCGTTTTGCACCAGCTACGTTTTTCTCCTGAGCCCGTGGGTCATCTGCCTGCGGACCTCTTCCGCCGAACGATAGCAAGGCTCGTCATATGTGGTCATTCTTACGAAGATAGAAAATTAATTGAATGCACTTGTGCAATAGTCAGTCGAGTTTATTGAGGTGATCTGCATTCAGGTCAAAGTACATTTGAGAATTGGTCTTTCCAACTGGTTAAAGTTTTTTGCTTCGTATTCGTATACATACCTATATAGACCAACCATAGACTCCATCGACTTCCCGTACATTAAGTACCATATTATAATATTATTTTATGTTTGCGCCACATCGAAATTTCAAACATGTTTACAACCAACGTATTATAATTGAAATTGAATATGAAATACTTTTCGAACAATAATATATTCCAATGATTTTATTTCAATACTTTCATGAATGTATTGAGGCACAATACCGGGGTGACTTGTATTATTATTAACATAATTTTTCATACATTTTTTCTTTTAATGTATGGAGTTCACATGTTCATGTTTTGTTTCTTTTTAAATTGAATTTCAATAAAATTGTTCAGGGCCACGAGCATGTCGCCGTCCTGTCGCAATCGTCAATCAATTTCGCTCTATTTTCTGTATGTTTTGATTTCTCGTTACGGCAGTATTCAGGGCAGGTTGCCGTCATTTACTGGAAACTAGTTTATCTGCCTAGCTTCGTACGCATCGACGTATCAAAGTTCCATTTAATATTTCATTTCACACCAAAGTTGTCACCAGTCTTTTCTCCCTTAATTTATGTCAGGTTTCAACGAATCTGTAAGGCTTCGGGGTGTTGTACATGTCAATGGGCGGCGATATTCACTTAACATCAGGTAACCGATTGCTCGCTTGACAATTATTCACATTAAAAAAAGCTTATTTTACTAATGTATACATTTTCATTTGTTTAGTATTTATAGAAATCATCTCTAGCTCATACACGAAGCAAACAGATTTACCTCTTTATTATATAAGTATAAGATTATATAAATTGAGCTCAGCAGGAGACAGCGCCAGTGATACATCGAAAGCCGTATAATTTAGCTTCATGAATGAATTCATTTTCAATATGACTCGAATAATACTACTAACAAAAATAATATTATTAACTTATCCTCAAGAAAGTTATTATGTTGACTGCCCGCGCACTGCCTACTTTGTTAAGTCCAAGTTATTTTTTTTTTGTTTCCATATAAGTAATAGGTATGTAATTATTTGTACATACATGTGGTGTCTACCTTAAGTAATTGTTACACTAATTCTTAGTAAATAAATTAATACAATAATAAAAATAATTTTATTTAAGTAAATAAATGAAATAACAGTAGTTGATATAATAACGTATTTTCTGTACTGGCTATACTTGGATGTCTGATATACTTTAATACAATATTCGTAGGTTGGTGAATAAGTACTTCAAATAAATATAAAAAAATTCTCTGTACTACATATTTAGCTCTGTCAGGGAGAATAAAAACACCTCTCTGCCTTTACCAACAAAATATTAGGTAAATGTCTTCGTGTATGGGATTAGGAGATGTTACGCAGTATTACAAATACGTCAATTTAATTGCATTAAACTTGGTTCAGTGATGATATTAGTGAATTATTTCTACCTAAAGCGTATTTTAATGTGTTTTTGTCAATACAGAAAAAAATATTAACGTTACTTTAGTTCAAACGCGTTAATAAGTATAAACATTTGTATGTTGTACGAGACAAAGCTACTTTTTATGGTTCCGTACTTTAAAAGGTAAAAAAAGGAAAGCTTATAAGATCAGTGTCTTCTCTGTCTGTCTTTCCGTGTGTCACCACTCGTTTTCTCAGGAATGGGTAGACCTAGCAAGATAAACGCGTCGTGGAAGCCCAGTCTTCGAAGCCTGGATGGAGCGACGGGAAGGCAGGCTCACCTATAGACTTACATTTATTAGTGGGCATGGATGCCTTGGTGATTATCTGTGTAAAATCGGATGTGAGGCGACGGCGGATTGTTTCCACTGCGATGGAAGCTACCAGGATTCCGCAACCCAGCAACCCTGGCGGTATGCCCAGCATGGGA